ATTCTTTTTTCTGTCACTTTCTTCTGAGCTGCTGCATTAATTTTATTAGTTTCTCATTTCTGTAGAACTCCTGATGCATCCCCTCATTAGCCGATCTTCTATTTGATTTGGTTAAAAACATAATTAACAAAATTGCTATTGAAAGGTGGTGGTCTAATGTACCAAAAATTGGAGACTATTACATACTGCAATAGTTTGAAACTATGTATTTGTCATTGGAAAGTTCCACACATACCTATATAGATAAATATAAGTATAAAAAATATAAATGTGTATATACTCCTTCCCTCTGAAATGCTGAATTATCATTGATGGCCGTCTGTTTGCATATGTGAAAGAAAATTATCATGTAAAATTTCTCACATGTGAACATGGAATGTATGGAAGTTTTCATTTTCTAGAAGATATTTTCTACGGTTTTTCAGTGGGAGTATATGAAATTGTGTAAGCAGTATTGCTTTAAAAAAATCATATGACCTGCTTGATATCTATATTATAATTGTAGATTCACATCCCATCCGACAGTGAATTTGTTTGTATTTTTTTACACATGTTTATTTTTAATTTTAGTCAATATTTCTTTCTTTTAATGATGTGAATTTATGTATCCCCTGGACTATTATTTAAAATTAAGCTTGGGTTGACAAGATTATAATCACTTGATATAACCCATATCATCTTCAAGCTTTCATAAGACGATATTGGTACATTTTGATCTTTTCCTGAAGTGACATTCTTAATTACTTCTTGTCTGTTCTCTCTTTGGTTGTTCATCAACTATTTGAAAGGAAGCATGTCTATTATAGTTAACAGTACTCCCGCATGAACTGGAAACCATTTAAAATTTATATAGCTACATAGCAATGGCAGATCCTCGTAAGCTTTTTTATCCCAAAGCTTACGAGAACCTCTAAAATGTCTGGATTCTTAGGCTGGTTTATGTGTCATTGGAGTTTTAACATGCCAATGGCCTTTTGTTCTGGATTACTGTTTCTAGTCTCCAAATATTAGGAAGTACTTTGACTTTCACAATTTATGTTTATAGAACTATGATGGAAAAAAGCAATTAGTTTATTGTGTTATTACTACCAAAGCAATAATTGATCGACCTTGTGATTCTTTAGGTTTTTACTTAATCGTATTACATTATATCTGAAGGAACAATTATGACAATAATAATAAATTGATATTGGAATTGAAGTCTACAGTTTTTACCCATGAGTTCACGGCTTCCAGACAAGGTATCTATCTCCCTGCTTGTAGGATCAATTCTGTGTACATTGACTTTCCCAAGGTCATACATTAACAAGACTCTCTTGTCTAGATATTGGTCTTCCACAGGAAAGAAGAATAAATGTCCCCAAAGATATCCTGATTCTCGACATGGATGTGTCCTATTTTGTATATGTTGTGAATCCTGTTGTTCATTAGTGGTTCACATGGACATGCCTTGGTCTATTTTCTGGCATCAGTGCCCTATTAGGCTCTTGAAAAAGAAAATTAATTAAGTGGCTTAAAAAGATCAGTTTGTTCTTTATCATTTAATCTATTACTGAAAAGGACATGATGTCTTGCGACTATATTTTGTTTTCTCATTCTGTTTCCTCTGATGCAGCTAGCTGTTGGGGGAAGTGACGGTATCTTGCAATCTTTTGCTGATAGAATGGATGCCTTGCATAAAGCAATAGCTTCCCTGGCAGCCCTGCCCAAGACAAATGAGTCACAAGAGGAGCATGTTTTGGAGAACTTCCACTCCAGTAGGCTCATCAGGAAGCTCGTCCTTGATTGCCCTGGTTTCGCAGCCACTCTGTGGGAAATGGCTTTGGATGGGAAGTGCGACGTCTGGGCTCAAGGCCACAGGTAAAAGGATGCTACTAGAGGAGGAATAAATAGAGTAATTACTAAAAAAATGGTGTTTGTGTACAAAAATATCAGTGTTCACATTGGATTATTTGGATGTCTATTGCAGTTGCAAGGTGCTTCTCGCATTCCTGGAATCATCGGTTTCAGAGGTCAAAGACTTGGCGAAGCCTGAGCTTCAGCCTTTGATGGATCGTGGTGTTCTTAAAGCTCCTGAGAATAGGTTGGTTGAAAAAGGAGTTTGAAAGCTTCCTGCAGGTGGAATGGTGTGAATGCAGTTAACCAAAAAAGGTTCATCTATTAACCTTTCATCAACATGTATACCAGCTTAAGCAGCACACAATCTTGGCAAACTTGGAGGTCATGAACCATTTCTGTATCTGGATTTTACTAGGATTTATGCCAGATTAGAAAAAAATTTTGTA